AACAGCTCAGCAAATATACTGCGGGAGCAGAAGTAGCTTAACTAATAATAATGATACAAATAGTTACTATACAAACTGTCAGTGATTGAAGACAGCAAGGACATCATATTATCTGTAGAACGACCAAGGAACGTTTGGAGAGTTAGTTGGTGCCAAAAGAGTTAACAAAACGTAAATGTCCAGTGTACAGCGACGTATTATCTTAACTTACCTCCGCCCAACTTGTCTTAAATGTATGTTACAGAATATTACCTTTTTATCACTAAAGCAGTCTAGATTCTTGTCTATTTCTCAAACCAATAGCAGTTTACTGGTCAGTGTGTGAATGATGACCTGTGTCCACCTTTGTGTAGGTCCATCCATGATTACTTTTCCAGAACCAAAACCCGCCATTAGAGTAAACAACAAGTAGAAAACAGCTGCAAATGTCCTCGTTTCACTTAACATGTTGCTTTCTGCAGGGGGAGGTGGTGCTACCGTCCAAGGAAGATATGTGGAGGGACATCAGGAGCAAGGAAGCAGCCTTGGCCAGGCGATACACCAAGTCTCGCAGACATACGATCCAGGTGGATTATATCCAGTTTATGGATGAACTGGCCCGAATAGTTGGATGCTCTGTGGATTACTGTAAGTCCGACAGTGTGACAGTTGTATGATCTTTTACTAGTTATATAACAGACGAGCAGGTCGGTTAGTTATCGGACTGTGTCACTGTGTGGGTTCCCAGGTCCCATGGGTGGGGTGGGGGGGGGGGGAATACCCACTGCCTTTTAACACGCATATCCTAAAGAGCAACTAATTAGGGCCGTTCCCTTAAAAGTGGGAGTACATCCGCCTGGAAAGACAAGGAACCAACTGTCTGCATTTCAGATAAGCCAGGCAGATGTGCACGCAAAACTCAAGTTCTTTAACAAGACCACAGTACAGAGGTGGACGAACAACTGGAACTTTCCGTCGGAATTTACAACCGGTAAACGCCAAAATGAAGAAGTCAAGTTGGACTGCTAGTGTTTTCATCAAGAATCCAGAGTTATAATTCTGGTCAGGCTGGTATTGGGCAGCAGACCGTTTTGCGTTGATTTCGTCAAGGGGATAGTTGTGTCCGACTGTTTACTGACAGAGGGAACCTGCTAGACGTAAGATTGTCTAGTGATGTCATACTGCCGCCAATTAACAATGGGGCTTGGTTCTTCTATGCTGTTTAAAGGACATAAGGTATTCGCCGTGGTGTAGCGGGTAGACGCTCGCCTGCAGATCTGAAGGAGGTGGGTTCGGGTCTTGGTGGAGCCGGACATTTTCAGCAATGACCTTGTCTCCCCGGTCGATCCAGTTTTGAGTGGGTACCAGGTGCAGTCCCGGGAAGTAAAGGCGGCCTGCGTGATGCTGACCACGTCACCCACCAAGTGGCGATTAGTCTAAAAAAATTTAGGTCTAGCCCTATATGCCTAATACGACTAAAGGCGTGAAAAATGGGCCTTTATTGACTTTACTTTGAAGAACAGAAAACTAACATGTTGTTAAATCCAGAGTAAACATTATCTAGCAATTTATGATATGGTATTAATAACACTGTCTTCCGTACACGACCATATACATACTCTCTTTTTCAGCAGAAATTTTACTTTATCCACGTTGCTTATTCGTCATGTCGGTATGTCAACATGTCAGCTAAATCGTTTAAAACGCCCGTGCTTGCTGCTAGTAAAGCCTAACACATCCTGGATTTCATCTGTCGACAGCGGCACTTGAGCAGCTTTAACACGAATTAACATTTTGATGTATAATTTGTACACGCAATGTTGATTATTTTTTAATTCTTTGATCTCTACGGTCTAAATCTCGGCTCGCACAACCCTAGTAGTTTTACAAACGCCTCAATTATATTTTATTAGTCCGTAAGTCGCAGTGTGCCAAATCTGAGCTGTTAGCGTGATGTCCTGTGTTCACGGGGACAGTCTCGTGTCTTAGATGTGACACGGCCGTCCCGTCGATGCTAAAAAAAAAAAAACTTCACTTTTTTTTTTTACCCGGGGGGGGGGGGGGGGGGGGGGGGGGAAAGCTTGAGTTGAGAATAGAAGACATTTATATTTTTGTCAGTAGACTCTAATTAATTTCAAAGTCTTAGATACTTGTTATCCCTTAAATGTGTTGATGGTTAAGGAGGAAAGTATATAGATTCATACGCTAGACCAGTGGAACTAATGGAAACAATATATGCAATCTAACTAGGGGGTTTGAGTTAACAAGTTAAACAGAACAGTATAGACAAATAAAACTGAAATGGAAAAAATATGCTACATGAGTGGAACCAATAAGAACCGGTATGTAATCGAACTAGAGAACAATTACACCAGGCAATATAGACATACACAGGGGAAATTGACATGCTTGAGTTGTCCCGTTTTCAGCTCAAAATACTAGGGGTATGTCCAGTTTTCAGCTAACATGTTAGTGGTATATGCCGTTTACAGCTTAAGATACGAGTATTAGTGGTGCGTCCCGTTTTCAGCAGAAGATAGTATGGTCACTCTTTGAATTCAAAGCAGAAGATAGTATGGTCACTCTTTGAATTCAAAGCAAAAGAAAGACCTCGTTTTGACCCAGATATAGGATTAAATTCTGTATGATAAAATGATGATGAATTCTGTGTGAAGAAAATGTTTTACATTCTAATTTCAGTGGATCTCCTGAAGAAGGACCCAGTTCTGGCAGTAAAGGTCATCTTTGGTCCGGTCACACCTTACACGTACCGTCTGTGTGGACCTGGTAAGTGGGCGGGCGCTAGAGCTGCCGTCATGAACCAGTGGCGTCGGATTGAAGCCCCACTTCAGACCAGATCTTTACCGTCTGCGAAACCTGGACTCAGAGACAACTTTCTCAAACTGGCAGCACTTCTCCTGGCTGTTTATATTTTGTTTGCCTTTTTATTTAACATAATATTTCAAGTAATATAAACAGAGTAGACATGTAAGTCAACAGAGTTACACACACACACACACACACACACACACACACACACACACACACACAACAACAACAACAACAACCAGATGATGCAAGAATTATCTCCAGTAAAAGGTAATAGGTTGGAGTAAAACATAACACAGACATAAGAAAATAAATCTCATGTGGATCAGAGTAGATTAAAAAAAAAAAAAACTAATATCATGGACAGACCGATCTAAATTTACGTGCACTGACTGCTTTTTCATGATGGCGATATCCAAGACCAAGAAATATTTACCAAGACGTGGGAGCATAAACATAGAATACGCTTGAGAAAGCCGCTGAAATAAGAATTTTGAGGGTTGGGCCATAAGGAAATTGTTTCTACGTAACTATTTCGATTGACTTAACTTAAAGAATAAAACACGCAAGCGCGCAACACATTTTAATTCTCCCTCCAACCAGACACGCAAAGCTTACACTTTTGCATTCACACACGCGAGCACAAACAAACACACACATGCAATAATAAACAGCTGGCATTTCTATTTGAAACTGACAACTAAAATGTAGATCTGTTGAGAACTATAGGTAAATAAATAAATATAAACTACACATTTGGCCTAATCTGCAAGCTCATCACTTGAGATCCTGAAGAGAAAGAGTGTCTACAACATACTTAGGTCTATCACTTGACACCATGACTGTCAAGAGAGTCTACAACATACTTAGGTCTATCACTTGACACCATGACGGTCAAGAGAGTCTACAGCATACTTAGGTCTAACACTTGACACCATGACGGTCAAGAGAGTCTACAGCATACTTAGGTCTAACACTTGACACCATGACTGTCAAGAGAGTCTACAACATACTTAGGTCTAACACTTGACACTATGACGGTCAAGAGAGTCTACAGCATACTTAGGTCTAACACTTGACACTATGACGGTCAAGAGAGTCTACAGCATACTTAGGTCTATCACTTGACACCATGACTGTCAAGAGAGTCTACAACATACTTAGGTCTATCACTTGACACCATGACGGTCAAGAGAGTCTACAGCATACTTAGGTCTATCACTTGACACCATGACTGTCAAGAGAGTCTACAACATACTTAGGTCTATCACTTGACACCATGACTGTCAAGAGAGTCTACAACATACTTAGGTCTATCACTTGACACCATGACGGTCAAGAGAGTCTACAGCATACTTAGGTTTTCACTTGACACCATGATGGTCAAGAGAGTCTACAACATACTTAGGTCTAACACTTGACACTATGACGGTCAAGAGAGTCTACAAAATACTTAGGTCTATCACTTGACACTATGACGGTCAAGAGAGTCTACAGCATACTTAGGTCTAACACTTGACACCATGATGGTCAGGAGAGTCTACAACATACTTAGGTCTAACACTTGACACTATGACGGTCAAGAGAGTCTACAACATACTTAGGTCTAACACTTGACACTATGACTGTCAAGAGAGTCTACAACATACTTAGGTCTAACACTTGACACTATGACGGTCAAGAGAGTCTACAGCATACTTAGGTCTAACACTTGACACTATGACGGTCAAGAGAGTCTATAGCATACTTAGGTCTAACACTTGACACTATGACTGTCAAGAGAGTCTACAACATACTTAGGTCTTAACATTTGACACTATGATGGTCAAGAGCGTCTACAACATACTTAGGTCCTAATACTTGACACTATGACGGTCAAGAGAGGCTACAGCATACTTAGGTCTCTGACACCTAACGTGTCATAGAGTCCGACAGCATACGTGCAGGTCTAACACTGTCACCAGGCATTGTCAACGAGTCTACAGCATTACTTAGGTCTAACACTTGACACCATGACTGTCAAGAGAGTCTACAGCATACTTAGGTCTAACACTTGAGACTATGACTGTCAAGAGAGTCTACAGCATACTTAGGTCTAACACTTGACACCATGACTGTCACGAGAGTCTACAACATACTTAGGTCTAACACTTGACACCATGACTGTCAAGAGAGTCTACAGCATACTTAGGTCTAACACTTGACACCATGACTGTCAAGAGAGTCTACAACATACTTAGGTCTAACACTTGACACCATGACTGTCAAGAGAGTCTACAGCATACTTAGGTCTAACACTAGACACGATGACTGTCAGAGCGAGTCTACAGCATAACATTAGTCTAACACTTGACCACCATGACGGGCAGAGAGCCTACAGCATACTTAGTCTTAAACCTTGACACTATGACGGATCAGAGAGTCGTACACACAGCCTAGGTTCAAACATTGACCTACTGATGGCAAGACCGTCTACAACTACTTAGGTTGTAATACGTGACCTATGAATGTCAAGAGTGTCTACAACATACTTAGTCCTCTATGACACTTGACACTATGTACGTGTCAGAGAGCTCTCAGCATCTTAGTTCGAACCGAAAACCAATGACTGTCAGAGATCCTACGCATACTTTAGCTAACACTTTACACTATGACTTCAAGAGAGTCACAGCATACTTTTGTCTAACACTTGACACCCTGACGGTAAGAGAGCCTACAAAATACTTAGGGCAACACTTACACCCTCGGCAAGAGAGCCTACAAAATACTTTGGCAACACTTGAAACCATACGGGCAAAAGTGTCTACAAATATTAGGTCTAACATTGACCTATACGGTCAAAAGAGCCTACAAAATACTAGGGCAACACTTGACCTTGATGGTCGAGTGTCTACAACATACTTAGGGTTAAAACCTGACACGACGGCAAGGAGCCCAGAATAGTGTATCAGGTACTACTTTCAAAAGTCTCCCAAACCGTTTGGCTGCGAGATTTCATGGGGGTCCCCCCCGGTTGTCCTATGTTTTAGGGCAAAAGGGTTCTCAGGGGGCCACCCCCGTATGCGGAGGCCACCAGCGTTGCCCGGAGGCCACCAGGGATGCAGGGGGCCCTGTGATGCCAGGGGGCCCTCGTGTATGCTAGGGGGCCATCTGATTAGGGGGGCCACGTTTGCTAGGAGGCCATCGTTTGCCCGGGGTGCCACTTTTTTTCCAGGGGTGCATCAGTGTATGCCGGGGGCCCCTCCGGTTTTGCCAGGGGGCCTATGTTGCCAGGGGATACCACCTGTATGCCCGGGGGGCCACGTGTATGCCGGGGTCTCCACTATGCCCGGGGTGCCCCCAGCTATGCCAGGGGTCGCTGCTATGCCAGGGGTGCCACCCCCTAGCCAGGGGTGCCACCAGGGGATGACGGGGTGCTGCCCCTAGCCGGGATGCCACCCCTATGCCGGGGGCTGCTAGCTATGCCGGGGTGCCACCCCTATGCCAGGGGTCTGTAGCTAGCTAGGGGTGCCACCACTATGCCAGGGGGGCCACCAGCTATCCAGGGGGGTGCTAGCTATGCCCGGGGTGCCACCAGCTATGCCAGGGGGGTGCTGCTAG